ATGAGTGGTGTATGATGAGTGGTGTATGATGAGTGGTGTATGATGAGAGGTGTATTGATGAGTGGTGTATTGATGAGTGGTGTATGAACAGTTCTTGAATGTCCGTAACACGGAAGTTTCGTACACTAAACTTCCTTTGATAAAACATGAAAATGTATAATAGATGTTCAATATAACAAGGGGTTTCAATATAACAGCGGTGATAATTATATATATATATATTATATCTTATCATGTTGTTCTTTTTTTTGGTCTTTTGATTCAATTCCCTCTTTTGAGGCCCTACGCCTCGGGACCCTACGGTGGGACCTCCGCGTCCAGCTCCTCCCGGCGGCCGGCCCGGAGTTCCCCCGAGCGTGAGGAAGGTGGGGCAAGCGAAGCTGGTAGGGGTGGGTGGGGGTGGGATGGAGTGGGGTGAGATGCAGTGGCATGGGTGATAGTCCTTCTAGCCTGACAGGAAGGCATGGGTGATAGTCCCAGGGGCATTGGAAGGCATTTCTTTGTGGCCATGGCCAGTTGCTCGTTGGTTGCTGTTATGTCATTGTCGCCCTAGCAATGGACTGCCGGCGGCCTTGTAGAAACTCCTTGTGACTGCCTCTGAGAACAGGCATGAACTTCTTCCAGCAGATGACCATGGCGAATGCAGGGATGCAAGGAGATGGCCCCCAGCACAGCATCAAAAGCAAACACCGAAACACCAGACAGGATGGCAGTTGAAGGTAGAACAATTGGCAGATTCTCCTCCACATGGGGTCCAAGTCAAAAAATGCATGATTTTTTTTGAATTTACGGTATTTCTTCGATGTCCTTGAGGTCTTAGGGTTCGGTCATTTCTCGGGACCCTCAGTTTCTGCTTTCGGGGGTTCGATTTGGCTCCGGGTGTTGCGCGGGGCTGTTGGGCCCAAATCCCTATGGGCTATTTTCATCATCCAAGGGGGAGAGAATTTGGGGCTTTGCGGTGGCTTTGCGGTGAGTAGCTATGGAGTAGCTTCACCAGATGAATTTCATACATCTAAAGGCCCGGGGTCTGTCAATGTGCTGGCAGGTCTGTCCCAGTGCTCCAAAAGGTGGTCAAGAATCGTCAAGAAGTAGAGTGGATGCAACAATTGAGTAGTGCAAGGTCCTAAACGCCGCTGAAAACGGAAGCCCCGCAAAGCAGGTTTCACTACTCGCTACTCAGCCGGTTTAACCTGTAGGGCGTGAGGCTGATAAGCAAGAGGGGAGCGGTATGATGATCATTGATCCACCATGCAGTTCTTCGTGGGGCGTTGTCGTTTTGTTTTTTTTTTTCTCTCTCTCTCTCTCTCTCCCTCTCCCTCTCCCTCTCTCCCTCCCTCCCTCGCTCTCTCTCTCTCTCTCTCTTTGTCTCTCTCTTCAGCCTCCCTGCACGCCGATGTTCCCGTTCTCTTCCTCTGAGCGTAGCCAGGCGCCTGTTAAAGAACACGCCCAAACACGGTTCCATGGTTCTGGTATACAATTGCAAGACCCGTTCTTTGAACCGCCGTGGCCGCGTGCGTGCATGTTGTGCGAGGATGCCTTGGTTGCGTGCCTTCGGCTCGACGTCAGGAATGGGATCCATGAACTCCATGGGCTCCATGAACTCCATGGGCTCCATGAACTCCATGGGCTCCATGAACTCCATGGGCTCCATGAGCAGCTCTGCAACTCGTCTCTCGAGATTTGGAGAAGCGCGACACCGTGTAGATGTAACTCCGTACACTCGCTGGAAACATCTTGGAAGTGGAACCCCAACTATTTGTAGAGCAACATGGTCATCCAGGCAGCGCATTCCTCACTTCCATCATATTTCCGGGGAGGGTATTTTCTAGAAGGACACTCTAGGGGGTGGGACCGACCGATCTGCAAAGTATTGTTTGTTTGAACTCCTTTGGGAAGACCCTTAGTCCGGGGGGCCCACCCTGAAGTCCAGCGATGAGCTCGCCAGTGAGATCTCCTGTTGTACGAACAGGGCCCGGAGTTGTTGGAGGCGAACGGAGCTCGTCCTAGACCTGTGAGTGAATCAAACCTCCGCCCTCACTATATAAAAACTTATGAATCAAGTGAAGTTCAATCAAGTGATCAACAGGAACGGCTTGACCACTTCAAACTCACAAGTCCAAGGGGATCAGATGGGTACCAGGGCCCTCTAATCTTGGGGTTGTGATTGGGCACCCCTTTTGTCACCTTTTCGGGGCTGCTGCCGGGTAGGTCGAAAGAACCCCTTTGCCTTTGGTGGTATTTTGTAGGTCTTGTCTTTTTGGAGACTGCCTGTGTAGCACTAGGCCACATGCATCGGCCCGATCGACCAAAGACAGGTCGAGCTAAGGAGCTCGTTTCCTCACATCGACTGAATCCCGAGGGCGCCCGCTGCTTTCCTCCCAAGAAGGAAGCGGAATGAAGCAAAGCCTTAGCAAAGCCCCCCACTGTTCTGTAGAGGATCCTCGTCTTCCCCGAGCGAACCGGTCCGTCTCGCACCTCCGTCTTCGCACCGCACGGGTCACCGAGATCGGCGACGCGGAGCCGAAGAATCCCATGGCCGGGGGACCGAAGCGAGGGACGCCCTTCACCTGAAGTGGCACATCGGTGAGTTGCCGATGGCCTCCAAGCTACTAGCGATGGCCTGCTGGTCTAGGGGAAAAAGCACCTGCTTGTCTTGGGCATTTGCTTTTTCCCCGACCCCCCCCAAGCGGTGAAGCCGCGAAGGATGCATTAAACTTTGTAAAACAGGTTGCTTGCTAAAACCCATTCATTACATTTCATATTAAAAAGTAGTTATACAATGTTATACACATGGTGCTTCGATTCCTGTCGTCGGGGGCGCAGGCGTCGATGGCGATGATGATGCTGGAGACCCAGAAGAAGCTCAAAGAAGCACAGGAGACCGAGACGTTCGGCGAAACGACCAGTGACCGAGACCTGCGCGGCGCCGACCTGAGCGGCGAGCGAGTGTGCGACGTGCCGGAACCCTCACCAGATCATGGAGTCAGAGTCTGAAAAGTGCCGAGTTCTGAGGAACAAAGGACGCTACTAGGAGCAAAGGGCATCGCTACTAGGAGCAAGGGCCTTACTACTAAGAACAAGAAGCAAGTAGAAACAATAAGTAATAAGACTTTAATTAGAATTAAGTGTAATTAAAGGCACAGGAGCCGAGTTCTGAGCAACGGCTTCTCTTCAAGTCGGCCAGCTGTGCAGTTGCAGGTCGCTCTCTCTCTCTCTCTCTCAAAAGAGGTTGAGCGAGATGAGCGACATGAACAGGTAGATTACGTCACGCAAGGGCGGTCAGATGAGGACGAATGAGTACTGATGAGCCCCTTTCCAAAGCATACGGTTACGCTATTTTAAGTATATATGTGGAGGCCGGGCTAGGGGCAACTCCCCCAGAGGTAGTGTATAGTAACTTTGCACCTCCATCGCGGGTGCTTGAACTGGGGCCAAGCATCCCGGTTCGGGACCCTCACCACCGGACGCAACAGCCCGCTGAAAGGCTAGCGGCTAGAGTAGACTCACGCATTGAAAAGCAGACGGGAACAGTAGAGAAAACACGGAACGCGCTTGGTTTTAATATGTTTTAATGTTGCTTTGTGTTGGCTTCTTAACATGCACAGAGACCTCGCAGACGGCCGAGTTGAAAAAACTGGTGTCTAAGAAACTTGAAAGAGCCAGTCATGACGCCGAACCTTCGGCCGGACACGCGTAGTGACTCGGGGAAAGCTATCAGTGAGCAAGTGGGTCAAACTCAGAGGAACATGGATGTGCATTGGAAGAGGGAGACGCCCCATAGATCCCTTGAAGAACACTGGACCAAAAGCCATTGGTGAGGGGAGACCGCTTTTGAAATGACCGCTTCAAGCAGTCTCGGTCCACGCATGCAGCCTCATCCAGCCTCCTGGAAAGCTGTCCAGGAGAAGATGAACAAAGTCTCGGAAAAGACGAGCGGCACCTTGGCAGGAGATGAGAGGAGGTCAAACCCTTGGATGTGCAAAGCCATGCACGGCAATGCACGGCTTCTGGTTATGTGAGCCATATCATGCCATGATCTGCCGTGCTTTTTCGACTTTGAAGCGGCTTGAAGAGGTTTGTGGACCACCTGGTCATGTGAACCAGTTCCTCATGGTTCCTCAATTTCTGACCCAGACCCACTTTGCTTGGCCACTTGCTAAGCCATGCTTCTCCTCCTTTCACGGCCAGCTCTTCAGCTTGAAAGGCGGGGGGGTTCAGCGCACCACGAGCGCGACCGTGGCCGCTGAGGTGGCTCGGGTGGCTTTCAGATGGGCCAGATGGGTCCCATGGGCCACCAAGCTGAAAACGACCGGTCCGGCGCGCCATCGAGCGGGCGAGGGAGTGCACTCCGTCGGGGGAAGCGAGTTCTTAGACCCCGAAATGGAGTAGACCCCAAAAAGACTCCCTTCCCCAACAAACATGGAAGGTGTTCCAAGTGGAACACCTCCCCCTTTTGTAGAGGACAACGGTCTTCCAAGGGGCTATTGCCCCTTCCATGATTGAGGAGGGAGGGTAAGTGCTGTTGTTGGTGAGATTGGTGAAGCACAAGTATTGAGTTTTTGAAGCTCAAGTGTGATTCTCTTCTCTGATCTGGGTCTAATTGAACTGCGTGAGCGATGTGAAGCCCATACTATGTGAAGCCGGGAACGGGGGTCATTGCCGGAGCAAGGCAGGTCACCACACACACACACACACGCACACACACACACACACATATATATATATATACACACTACAGAGATAAAGGGAAATTAATAAGGCATTGCACATACATGCATACATAGATAGATAGATTCATACATACACTGTAATGTGCATAAATTACATTGCATAAATTATATTAAATTCCTTCATGGTGACTTTTCTCCTTCAATGCATCCCCATGATCTCAGCCCTGGAAGAACCCATCCCGGCAGGAAGTTGCCCAGGAACTGAGGTCATAGAGGTATGAGCCTTATATAGACGGTTATGCGATGGTGGTGGATTGAAGCTCGGCCACACGGATGCGCGATAAGCCTTGTAAAAGTGCCTTCTGGTGCCTCGGCAAGAACCTTGTAACTTATGGTTATATATGTGATGGTTAAATTTATATACATTAATTCCCTTGCACCTTTTACACAATGCCTTCATGTTTTCACATGCCCATGCCTAGTGTTTGGCGCCGAGGCTGCGGGGGTTGTGGTAGTGGAGGCTGCAGCGGCTGCGGCGGTTGCGGTGGCAACTTCCAAAGCAATGAACTAAGGGCTGCAGGGCCGGGCTCGGATTTCAGAGCGTTTGCAACATCAGCAAGCTGGACCTTTCGTTGGATGATATTTGCCCAGTCATCAGTTACAGGATCAGTAGGTCAGTGGCTCACGAGTTCTTGGGTTTTAACTTTAAACTCCCGTACGCTGAGTTCACTGCGAAACTCGGATTGGTTGGGAATAACATGGATGGAGGGCCCTGGAGAGCTCAAAACTCTGATGCGGAGTCTCATAAGACTATACCAAACATATCCACACATTCTACCCTACCATCCTCAGTTCTTTTCGGATTCCACGAGTGTTGGTGCAGCAGGTGCTTTTGAGAAACTACTTGAGTCATCAATTCACTTCATCCCACCTCTTTGTTCACACGTGACTCTTTTCACACACTCCACCTCAATGACTCAATGACTCCTGAAAACGACGACCCCTCCACTTCCAGCCTTTTCTACTGGTGCATCCTTCGAACTTCCACCAGTTGGCTTTGGGTTTCACCTTCCCACCCGAATCCTGCCCTTGTTCCTAATAGCTTATTGTTACTACTAGTAAGGCACTTGTTACTAGAAGCGATGCACTTGTTTCTAGTAGCTTCCCACCCCTCTCTCCGGCCCTTTCACCGGGGAGAGGCACCGGGGCACGTCCGAGGCTTCGGATCCCTCCCTGCAGCCTGGAGTGCCCGGCGTTGAGGGCGCCACCGCCTTCCCCCGAGCCAAACAAGAGACGGAACGGGTGGTCCAAACCATGGAACGGTGAAGCATCTGGAAGCATAGAATGCCAAGTAAGAGATAGGCATCAGGTGAATGATGTGAATGAGGTGAATGAAGTGATAAACACTGCAAGACGGAAGAGCTGAGAAGTCAAATAGAAAAACGACAGATGACACCCACCCGAAAAATCCTTGGAAACAGTTTCGTGGAACAAATTACGCAATTAGAATTGTAAAACACATGCTTTCTAGATGTTTGGTGTTTTGCCGGGGTGAAAGAGGTGAACGAGTGTTTGTGAGAAATGTTTGACGTGATTCTGGGGGTGTAACTGTGATGCTGTGATGATTTGGATGTTGTTTTCTGAGAAATAGTTACTGTATCTGTAGTTATGTTTCGGTGTTGTAAATGTTGATGATTTGATGAAATTGTTGAACATCATGCTGTATGACAGTGATGTAGTTCTGACAGTGTCTTTCGCATGATTTTGGTGGGCAGTGGGGACTAGTTTTGGTGTTTTCTTCTGTTCTTGCTTTTCAGGGCTCCAGCCAGCATCTCCAGCACAGTGACAGTAGAGTACACAGTTGGCATTCTAAACGGTTTCTACTAACCCACTTCGGCAGTGAGTGCCATCAACTTCAGTCGGTCGACCCACATGGCAGGGCTCTAAAGGCGGCCACCCGTCCAGCTGCGCATGGACAAATATTCTTGATTGGTGCTTCCAATAGTCCAGCTGCGCGCGGTTCCTGTCGTCACGGGGTTCTTCCTGGCCGACCGAACTGGGTCCCGTTTTTCGTCACGATGCGCAGGTTGGAGCATGTGTAAACCTCAGCCTCCTTCAAAGTGGCACCTTGTAGAGGCAAGTGCCCACTTGCCAATATTGACTGTGCGGGTTGCAAACTGTTAGGAACTTGTTGGACACATCGAATCATACATGAGTTATAGGGTAATGTTCTGGAAATTGGGTGACCCAAACCAAAGGGTCTTCGATGGTTTTAGTCTGTCTCGGATCTATTTGAGCTCTTTGAAAAGGGGTCTCCATCTGTTTCTACTAGGAGCAAAGGGCATCGCTGCTAGGAGCAAGGATGCTACTAGGGGGTCCTGGCATTACTATTAGTAGCAAGAATGCTACTAGTCAAGGGTTTCTCAGCTTCCAGACTTGACACAGGACGGCGCGCAGCCACTCTTTCGGGCACCGGTTGGCACTGGCACGGCCCTGCGCGGTCCAGTCTTTGGTGGTTTCCGTCTGTCCCCCCGCGGTTTGCTGCGAAAAGTGTCCGGTTTTCAGCGAAGTCTTGTGTAGTCAGCCCTGCAGCGGGAGACAGACTTTGCAGCAAAGACTTTGCAGTCGTTTCACAGGTCGACCGACTAGTGACCAGGAAGGTCTTCGGAAAATGCCGCCGCGCACCGGCGCACCGCATGCTGCTCGACGATCCGATCGGGCGACGATCGGAGGCAGGTGAGGGCCGGGACTGCCCGGGCAGTCCAGAAGGTGATTACTCCATTTGGCAACTGAGCTTTCGGTAAAGAAAAGAAGCACATGAATAGCAAACATAATGTAGTGTAATGGTCCAATGTATCATGTTGTCTTGGAAGCTGTTGCGTTCAGGTTGGCGAGGACCTCGGAAGCAGCCATTGTTGAGGAACATTTCTCCAAGCCACCTGAGAGAGGCCCCCCTCCCGTAGTTGCAGTGTGGTGAGAGGGGGTTGCAGATTCTATTGGGAGAGTTCCTTTGTCCTGGCTGGTGGCAGGAGGGCAACGCCAGTTGCTGGTGGCGCGTAGTGGCTTGGCAGCCGGAGTACGGAAAGTGGCTGGATGCATTGTGAATGTGTGGAGCACCCTCATTGCAGCCATCGCATGTTTTCTTGGCTGGGTGGGGTGGCTGTCCAAGCTCGTGAGGTTCCATACTTCAAGCACAAGACCCAGGGTGATCCAATCTCCCTCAACGAGCAGGCGGGCTGAACACATGCGAGCAGCGGCCAAGGTGCTAAGGTCTCATTTACCTCATTTCCCATTCAGAGGCTTTTTTGGGATTGCCGGAAATCCCACAGTTTTTTTGAACCACATAGGATTTCAGGCAAAAACACAGCGGGGAGATGCGGGGAGTTGGGGCGTAAACTCTTTGATGCGATGGGGAACATCATAATCATAAAGTTTTCATTTTTGATGTAAATGATCTATCTCTATGTTATATGATTACTTATTTGTTCGACGTGTGAGTATTTTGCCACTCTGGATTCATTATGGAGGTCATACTGTACAGACCGCACATATCAGTCGTTTTCCGGCTACGGGGGGTTATTCTGCATGCATTTTGTCAGACAAGCAAGCAAGATCAAACGTTCAACACACATGCCCTGAGTTCTGGTTCTTCCAGCTGCTTCCGTTTGCCAAGCCATCATTGTCTGCACCACGTTGCGCATCTTCCACCTGCGTTGTCTTCACCTCTCGTCTTTCTACGTTCGTCGCGCCTGGGTGCTTTGTTGCCACAAAAAAGGCATCATGGGCATCATCACTGTTCTGCAAGTTCGTCCATCACTTTCACACGATGTTGATGCCGCCGCGGAGATGATGTTCATCTAGCTCCATTGGCCGCCGCTGGTGGTGTATCATACGCATCCAAAAAGAGAAGAGAGAAAAGCGGAGAACTGCTGAGCTGACCATTTTGCCACTTGGCACGCGCGGCTTGCGCCGTAAGCTGCAGGTTTTGATTGAGAGCTCCCGCCTGGGCAACGATTGGAACCTGATGCTCAGCTGCTCGAATCGGGGTGTGTTTGTGCCTGTGGCTGGAAGACCGCGCCACTTGCTGCATAGAACCCCCGCAGTGTTTGGTGGGTGATGCTTCATCTAAGGTTGAGGATGTCTAGTGACCAGATGTTGTGCTCTGTCAGATGAATCGAACCTTAAGTTTGCAAGGTGAGCTCCATAACATAATTCAATGGTCGGTCTAGAGGGTCAACCCGCCTAACACCGCATGGACGAGCTTGCTGACATCCTTGTTTGGGCCAAGTGCCAACAGATGCCAGGCCGTTGGCACTTGATCATAGGCCCGTTCTGGCCCCACTAGAGGCCCCACACGCTGTTAAGGGAATCGTAGCAATGAGCTCTTGCGGATTCTGGCGAAAAACTCTGGATGTGAGTCTCCCTCCGTCTCCCTACCCCACATCATGTTGGAGCCGCAGTCCAGTTGGCCAGTTGCCCTCTTGCCCACCTGTTTCAGGGAATGCCCTCTCCTCTTCGCCCGCTGAAGGTGACAACCCACCGTTCTTCCGCACGCCGCGGAACCTCGCCTGTGCCCAGGAATTGGTCGCGGGCTCGGAACCTTGCCAAGGATGAGGCAAGAGTTCGACATATCATGGGAGAGTCGGTGCACGGACTTCCACCACCCTTCCGCGGATTTACCTCTTTTTTGCGGGATTCACTCTGAATTCACCTTTAATTGAATATACAATCTTTACATATTTGGCACTCTCCCGAAAATACAAACTTTCCCAATGCAGTCTTTTGCATACATTTGGAGTCTCTCGGGGGGGTGCCCTTATGTGGTTCGAGAAGCAAGCACATGTTTGTATACATCAGCACGTGCACACGCACACGGAGCTATATACATATATCTATCTATCTATCTATCTATCTATCTATCTATCTATCTTTATATACATAGCTAGGCCCTCGTCTTGACAAACCTTGCTACTTGAGGCATACCTGGGCCCTCAGAGTGATACGAGCACACAAAGAGGGGCGACCCGGAAGCACACCATGAGATGACCGCCCCCACCCGCAAACAAGCAAGCCCCAACCAACAACCAGCAAAGGCAATTTTTAGGGAGGGAGTTCACATATGCTTCCAACTCACTAACATGGAAGTGGACAATGGACCCTTGGATGACTATGTTCCTTTACGGACAGGGTGGTTTTCCACTTCCATATTAGTCCGTCGGAGTATATATATATAAATATTTGTGTGGACAATTTTGACATGATCTTCTGAAGATGTAACCATATAATGTATACATACACATACATGTGTATATATACATATATATGTGTGTGTGTCTTGTCTATCTCAGGTGCGCCTGTCGGATTTCGTGAGGCAACATGCTACTTTACATACACAACTTTATATTCTCGGATTGTTTCATATTTTTGGGGGTCAAGTGGATAAGTTGGTCAAGATTCTGAAATGGAAGATGTTTGAAGCACCCTGAAGTCTTGGCCCCTGAGTTCCCACTCTGGTTTTGTATGAGTCTATTGATTTGGGGCACCCTGTGGATTGCTCTGTGCCCAAAGGATGGTGATGTGACATCGACGTGGGTTTGGAATTTCATTTACTTAAATACATAAATTTGATATGTATGTATATATATATATAGAGATCCAATGTCGCCCATCACAGGTCAGGGCTAAAAGCTCAGGGAGCGCTGATACAATCATATTCGTAAGAAGTGGTTGCCGGTGTAAAGGGGCAATATTGGGATGGCCAACGTTCATGTAGGCGTGCACACTGGAGAGCACAAAACAGAGCTTCGACTCCCTGCTTCACCAGCCATTTCAACAACAAATCCAAGGATGAGAACAGAACAGCGAAGAAGAAACCGTCCAGCTTTGATCCCAACCAGGAGGCAGGCCTTCACGTACTGTGGTCAGTTGGCATATGAAAAAGAGTCAGACCACCACCTCACAGCAATTACGACAGCATTCATAGCAGCATTCATAGCAGCTGACAGCCACGTGAAAGGGGGAAACGTTTGGCTGCTGAATTTTCTGCACCCATGTCGCTTGCGGCCACGAAGACGTGTGAAGCTCTGCGCACTCAGAGAGCATTTTTGTTGTTTCTTTTTTGGAGGAGGAACCTCCATCAATTTTGGGCATTGGTCAGTCCGCAAAAATAGAAGCGACTCCCTGTCGGCATGTTTTCGCAAAACCACATCAAGCAGCAGAGAGGAATCCATGTTTTGTCCCATGAGACCACAAAAACCAAAAGCCCATAGACCATTGGTGTCAAGTCAAAACCACTCAGATCAGGCCCTCCATGTTTTGTCCCTTCCAATTTGAGGCTCAATGGACTTGACACCTGAATTCCGTCGCCTGGCCGGGCTTCGTTCCGTGCCTGACGAGCAAGATGAGCGCTTGATGAAGCCGCGCAGTGGCTTCATCCTGCAGGCAGAGGAGCAGCAGAGCCGATTGAAGCGTGGCCTGGAAGGATTTAATGTGGTTTGATTTTGTGTTTTGGTGTCCTCTGGCCGGTTCTTAGGGTTCACACATCAGCCTCCGATTTCAACCACGCACGTTTCTGCAGCGAAAAGCACATTCTAGGGCCTTAGGGTGCAACGTGATTAGGTGATTCAGGGACACCGGCTGTCGACACCAAGGCCTGCGACAAAGCCTGGACCGTGACGCCACGAAAGAGATCAATCACATCCAGGCCTGGATGTTCAAGCTACCGAATATAGGAATAGGAATAAATGGTAAATAGTAAATAGCATATTCTACGGCAAATCGTGTTGGTTCGGTCCGGCGCAAGCACCGAAGGAAAACCCTCTTCCAAAGCTGTTTGAGGGGATCTCGTGTTTTTCCTTATAACGCCAAGGAGGGGGGCAATAGAGAACATTTGATCATTGCAACTTGCACCGTGCCGAGAAACAGGTGGCCGAACCACGGTTACACTCCGAGTCACTACTTTTTAGTGGTCGCACTGTACGTAAGTGGTGAAGTCAACACAGGTTTTGTGGAGGTGGAGCTTTCATGGGGCACAGCCTTGCTGGAAAACAA